AAGAAAAGCAAGAATTAAATCGAAATACGTAATACAGTGGATAAGGTTATAAGGATCAGTTCGTAAGGCGGACCCACATTAGCCTCCTGACCGACCTCAAAAGGAAACGCTCGGCTGCTTTGCTAATGGTGCTATTGATTCGAGTGATTTCTAAAGCACGCCTCTTGCTCCCAAAAGGACCGCTCCTATTAAAAGTAAGAAGCTTTCTAACATAAAATTGACTACCATTTTCTTTATTCACAGAAACCTTGAGATAAATTCATTAATTTACAAAATAGGAAAAAAAATTAGAACAGGTAATTTTTTTTTCACTTTTAACTGACAAAAATATCTTACGAATCTGAAATTGATATTTATCATTTGTACTATTTAATTTTAAATGACTTAGTACAAATATCTATTAAAAAAAACCTCATATTTACCACGAAATGATGAATTATTTTGTAACGTAGTTTAATTCTATTGCATTAAACGTTATCGGGTATATATAGAGTGAAACATAAAACTTTATTGAAGCGCAACCTAAGACACATTTAGAGAACATTTAGAAAGGTTTATTCATGCCTCAGTGAATTTAATGCACTCACGTACGCTCCCAAGCGGTCACTTCTAGAAGAGAAATGACGTCATCTTTACAATATCTGACCTAGTAACATCTTACTAATAATATATTTAGACAGATGGATGATTGTTTGCTAGAACTAGGCTGCATTGATCTCGCTGAAATTTTGCATAGATGTAAAACATAGTTTGGGATAACATATATACCATTTAAGTTTTTCAATTCCACGGGGACAGAATCGCGGGCGACAGCTAGTTTTAAATCACGTAAAAATCATCCAACAAATTGCAAGCAAATTATCGAATCGTAAGTAACTATCTAAGTCTATTAAATATAACTGTAATATGTATTTAAGTATTGAAAAATGTATGTTATATTTTCTTAAATAATTTTATTCGTTTCAGTACTTTGAATAGTCCTTGATTGCTTCAAGATATTGTAAAAATATATTTCTACGCGCGCGTTTACGTGATGTAGCGTCAAATAGGAACGTGACGTAGGTGTTATTTTAAAACTATTTCAACTAATAATATTAAACTATTTGATTCATTCGATCGAAGTGTCAATTGATCACATTAATACTTAAAGATTTTATTGTAATTTAGCGCGGAAATAAAATTAGTAATCGTAAGTATGAAAACAAATCGACACCTCGAGGTTTAGGCTAAGCGGCATCTGAGCCCGGCCGCGGTAAAGCTCTAAATGCCTCTTAGTGGCAAACGATGACTAATCAGTTACAAAAAAGAACTTAATTAAACTTAAGATAATCACGCCAGTGTTAAGTAGTTTTTCAATATCACGGTTTTACTCAAGTCCATAAGATTACTCATCGTCGTTTTCTTTATACCAAATTCAAGGAAAATCCATTATTCACCTTTAGATCATTTCCTGATGAATTGTCATCATTGACTTAACCTCAGATTAACCTTTTACCTTCTACAAAAAAAAAAAACTACAAACCAATCTGCAGAAAGCTTTGTAAGTCTGAATTCAGTATAGTGCACGATTATCCTAACATAGTAAATGAAAAACTATCGCAGAACGCGGTTTCAAAATTGCACTGCGTCAATCAGGACAGCGGCTGCAGTCCAATTCATACGGGAGTGTACCCTGTCTATCGGGAGGATTGGATTGAAGCTTGTTGCGAAAAAACACATATTTAGTTTCACGCTGCGTCCGACTAGTACTAACAATGGTTTTACCTATTCGATTCTGTATAAACGACTTGACTTAAAATGATTCGTACTTTGACATTATCAATTAGAATCCTTTGGCTCGAATGACGTGCTTTCGTTACAAAGTCCAGTGTTGTGCCAGTACACCGGAACAGTGTTGGATTTTCTTCCTAACCGTTCTTACACTTAAAACATCATCATCATCAGCTCACTGTACGTCCCTACTGAGGGGCTCAAAGCCTATCTTAAGTTAGGGGTGACGCTGGCCCAGTGCGGGTTGGTGAACTTCACACATATCTTTTGAATTTCTTCTACAAAATGAACAGATTGCATCACGATGTTTTCCTTTACCGTAAGAATGTTGGATAAATGTACATATGTAAATCGAAAATCGAAAAACACAGTGTAAACGGCGGGATTACAACCGATGACCTGCAGATTACAAGTCAAATGCTTAACTCCTAAGCCACCGACTTTGTTAATCTTCTTATTTAATGTTATTGAGCTAATTAATGATAAAAGTAGATGCTTATTATATTTAATCGAATCGTTTATATTTTAAATGATGATTAGTTAAGCGTGCTTCATAAATTGTACATAAAAGAGTCATAAAGTTAAGTTATAACTTAATGCACACAAGAGTTAACATGAAACTCGACGACCGATCATAAAAATGCAAACGACGAAACAATAAAAAAGTAAGCAGTTTTCCATAGTAAGGAAATACCAGTAAGTGTTATTATGATTGTAAATTCATAATAACTTTAATCCACGTTTATTGCTTCGTTTTGCCGCTTTAATCCTGACTTAAATTTACGAACGAAATTATTATTAATTCCGCGAAAATTGTAAACGAGTTTTACTTTAGGCCTGTAGCACACATACGGAAGCGATACGAAGATAGAAAAATGTGTTTGCATTTTGTAACTATATAGATCGCCGAAATGTAACTTGAAAATTTTATTTTGAAACATCGCGACAATTGAAAGAAAAATTTAAATTGGTAACATAGCTTGTATGTTGACAAGCTACAGTAAAAAATCAACGAATTATCGGATCCAATCGCCTGTGTTCTTATTAATTTATAACAGGTACTTGATAAACTTACAAAAAAAAATGAAATTCGCAAACAATTTTTTGTTTTGATGCCGTTTCAGGATCGCTTTCACGGCAGTGTGATAGAGGCTTATGAAAATCAGGCTTAAATGTAAATAAACCTTAACATAGCAAACATTTAATTAAGCGAGAGCGTTTCTCTGAAAATAACACAATGTCAAAGACACGAGGCTTTTACCTAAGAAAGATATATTGTTACATTTTGTCGACACAACCATAGACGTGACGAAAGTCATACAAATTTGACTCTTATAGATTACTAGCTATCGCCAGCGACTATCCGCGTGGAATTAAAAAACTTAATAAGTAGTCTATGGATTCTTCCAGACTATACTCTATATTTATGCCAAACATCGCGATACATTCAACAGTTCTGGAGATACCATACAAACATGCATCTAAAAATTCGCATTTATAATATTAGTAAGATATGAATGAGTTATTATAGTTTGAAATACAATTTTATATAGTTTAAACTGTATGTAATAAACTGATATATAAACACGGCTAAACACGTATATTCGATGGCGGCACCGTCTAGTTTCGAGCCCATCGGGGGCCCTTCATCAGGATGTGTATTATTAAGGTATTATTTCGCGGACGCGGCCCCATGGGCTCGAAACTAGTCGATGCCGCCACCGGACAAATATACGTGAGTGTTTAGCCGTGTTTATATATCAGTTTAGTATAATGTCTCACAAAAGTGTGAATAATTTAATGTATGTAATAAACATATCAACATTGAACACAGTCAACATTTATCCCGCAAGACTTTATGCGGGAGTTTATGAGACGAGGTCATGTATCTCAATTTAGTTTGATTTAGAGCTTCACTACACGCTACATAGAAACGCTTCCACAAGCGCTATACAGACCTAAGTGCAAACTACGTAATTAATAGCCACAATGTAAGGTATTAATATAAGATTTTTAGTAAGACAATTATTTCGATGATACCTTTTAATTATAAAGTAAACATAATAATAACTGCAATAGATTTTATTGACATTATTTTTTTTAGTATAAATTATAAAATCTTTTATCTGTCGTTTCAGTTTTGCTGCAAAGTGTAAATTTATGCCTTATCAATATTAATATTATATGTGTATTTCACTATATTGTCAATTTGTTTAAAGATTTTTAAATAGTTCATTTAAAATCTTACTTCTAACTTATATTATAAATGCGAATGTTTGGATGAATGGGTAGATGGATGGATGTTTGTTTGAAGTTAAGTTATCTCCAGAATGGCGCCATGGAACTAACTGAAATTTGCCATAGACGTAAAACATAGTCTGTAAGAACACATAGACATACTAATTAAGTTCTTTTAAATTCCATGAGGACGGAGTCGCGGGCGTCATTTAGTAATCTAGACTACTAATATTAATTAGAAAATCTTTTATCAATAATTACAGTTTTGCAGCAAAGTGTGGATTTTAATATTATTTCGATTCCAGATTTTAACAGTTAATTTTAAATAAAGATTTTTTTTAAATAACCTCAGTTAACATTCAGTGATACATGAGACAAAGTAAATTAAAAGCCGTGGTATAAAGTTCAAAGTATTTTCGGGGAAAAAGTTCTAAGCCTTCCAAATTTGTATTAACTTCCTACGGGTCATATAATGTCCCAGCGGCCTCGCTTAATGTAAAATACGTGTCTCATGGGAAATCTATGTGCGGTACAAATCTTAATCTTCCAACAAAACGACTTTCGTCCTAAACTCGTCTATGGAATTAATGTACGTTACTCTAAAAAAATCTTTTACGCAACATTATGTTTTTGAGTCATTATAACATTTTTCATATTTTATTGTTAGGTTTTCGTATAAAAAAACATCTAGACGAATTGATAACCTCCTTTTTGAAGTCGGCTTTAAAAGAAAAGGAAACTTTCCCTTCTATTTTTCCTTTATTAGTCGGTTAGTTTATCTTTTCAGAAAAGAAATGCTTCTTTACATTGTAAATTATTTATTAAGATTCACTAATTTTAAGACTAGATAAAAATTACATATAAACACAATAGACAATTTGTGTATTTTTTTCAACAAACGTAATTATTAAATTTTTATTTACATTACTGCATCATTAACTTGAGCAATGACATTATTAGTTTTTTACATTTTAAATATCTCTACCCTTCCCCTAGGGTTGCAAGAAACTTCGTCCGAATTTCTCTTACTTAATTGTATTAAGATTTATTACAACATTTCCATATGCATGGTATTTTCACCTACTTTGTAAAATATATAACAATACCATTGGTACTAATACTAGAACGGGCATCGACTCCATGGAGTTACCTGAAAAAAAAAGAAAATAAAAATATTGAATTTTGCAGAAAATATTTAAGATTCTTACACACTTACAACCACACTTGTTCTTTCTCTTTTTAGACAAAAAAAAACTAGATTTAATAACAGTAAAAAACTCTAGATTGCTAATTCCCTGTGAAAATGAGATGAGATATTTTAACCCATGAAAACTTATTCATTTTATGCTATTTACATCATTATAAAAGAATAGTTACCTGTATCAGGTGACGTTTGTAAATAATTAGTTGACTCAGGTGAAGATAAAGGTGGATCTGGAAAGAAGTAGATCTTTGATATATAAACACGGCTAAACACTCACGTATATACGTCCGGTGGCGGCACCGACTAGTATCGAGCCCATCGGGGGCCCTTCATCAGGATCGGAGGTCGGTGCCGCCACCGGACGTATATACGTGAGTGTTTAGCCGTGTTTATATATCAGTTTAGTATAATGTCTCACGAAAGTTTGAATAATTTGTAGTAGATCTTTATTAAAAATATACGAGTAAATAATTCTATTCTAAGATAATATTTAAAAGACGTAGTAAATTATTTAATTCAGTCGATTTAACAACTAACTTTGAATATAAATTATAATAAGTTGAAAAATTAGAAACTAATCTGAATGTTTAAAATGTTAGAAACATAAATAAACACTATACAGAGTGTTTCTAGACTCCAGGGAAACATTTTATGTAACAAACCACGCGAACTAACATTTTGGTATCATCATTTATTCGTTTAGACACAACATGTTACACTAACGTTTATGACTAACAATAAATTAAAACTAAAAAGCTAACTAACCTCTATAAAATATATCCCTTTTTCTGCTGAAATAATTCGCGAGGGGGACTTGCATGTCGCAGAGGATTTCAACCGTAGGAGGCAAAGAGTCGACGCTTACTACGGCACTGGTTAAAGCTGTGTAACGACCCTCGAAGTTTTTGATAGAAGACTTCGCGTTCAGAGGTCTGGAAAGATAAATAATCGTTTAAAAAAGTTACTTACCGTAGATTTCTGAGACCAAATTACCTCTTTATATGACTATGATCATGGCAGGGATGACGATATGTTTCATACAGAGATTTTAATGTCAGAAACCAACGGATTACTACGATGATGATCATCTGTGGATGTACATTTGGATGCGTAGCTCTTTTTACCTAAACAAAACTAAGAATATACTTAATTTTTTTTATAACTGAAGGGGGTAAACGAGCAGCGGGAACACCGAGGTGTTCAACGACGCCCATGGACATCAGCAATACCAGAGGAATCACAGATGCGTTGCCGGCCTTTGAGGTGGTGATAAGCTCGCTTCTTGAAGGACCCTAAGTCGTAGCGGTTTGGAAATACCGCCGAGGACAGACCATTCCACAACACTGCTGTTATTAAATTAAGTTACTTATTTTTTGACCCTCATATTATGCACAGCTAAATTCACAGTAAATAATTCGTTACTTCTTTTATTTCACTGTATGCTCTACAATGTTTAAATTGTTAGGAAACTTTCTTCGCCGATCGGAATTACGAAACTTTGGCAAGTTTAAACATCTACGGCACTGATTTTATTTGTGTCCGATAGTATAAGTTAGGCTGATTCGAATTTCAAAGTAGTGTATTTATTCTGGAACTCATTTTCTAATAGAATTATGTTATCATATTGAAAAAAAAAAGTAAAATAAAGTATCTCGCTCCCTTATTAATATTCCTGTCCATTATTATCCTTCCATAACGTTTTTTTATATCATAGTGTGGCAAACGAGCGAGCGGCCACTTGAAATCGCTGAAATAGCGAAGTGACCGTTGCCCATAGTTATACGCAATTGCATATGCGTTGCCTACCTTTAATCGACGGAGGAGAGGATACACAGAAAGAAAACATTTTCCCTTTCCATGCATCCCCTCTTCCGGAAAGTTCACTTCCACTTCCCATCCTTTCCTTATAAGAAAAAGGGTGGGAAGGGAAAGCGGACTAAATTAGGCCTCCGGGACGCACATTCATCAGACGAAACGCGGAATTGCTTCCACTTGACGCCTGTCTTCTGTGTGGTCGTGCTATTTCACCGGGCGAGCCGGGCCAAGTCGTGCGAAGATGTTAAAGCGGGCACTACAATTGTACCCTTTGCCATAGTATATTATTGTCAAATCAATTAATCCTGCATGTAATTTACATGTACACATATAACATTGTTGTGTTGTTCTGTAGCAAACGAAATTTATCAGGCCGTGCATGACGTGTGACGTGAGGATTTCATGGTTGGGAGGAACGTTAAACGACTTAGATGCGATGTCGTATGCTTGACACATACGTAGGTACATAGGTATCTATATAAATACGTATATGTACAAGATACAAAGCCTATTCCACAAGTTCACTAGGCATGTTAATTGGTAAGAGCTTTAATACTATGTGTATAGCTTAATTCCCGCATAAATAACACGTATTAGTTAGAACCTTAAAGGTTGATTTAGAGCGAAAACTATGCTTAATAAACCATACTACAGTAGGAAAAAATGGTTGAAGACAATGCCTATTATTTAATCGATAGTTTTGTCTAATCTACAAGTTTTTCAGGGAGAATTTCTGCCATACAATATTGTTGAACTTTCTTATATATATTTCAATTATTCGCTATAAAAAAAAAGAAAATCTGTGAATTTGAAAAGTAAAGTGAGAGTACGCTGGTCACAAAAGAATGGAAATGCGTCGGGCGTTTTCATGACCTGTCGATAGCGCCTACAAGAACAAAGAAGGCCAAGCGAATTTAAATCTCTTATAAATTTTATTATGAAGCCGAGATTAAAAAATATTTTATTTACCCATAATAATAATTACCTGTTTCCGACTAAAATGACTAGCTCTGGTTTGGGAAAGACGCCTTCAACAGAACAAATAATATTCAAGTAGCCGTCGTGTAGTCGATCTTGTATCATATCAAACCTCGTTTCGGGCACTGAAATAAATATAATAAATAATTGGAAACATTGTTTTCGATTATTTGTATCGTTAGTAAATCATTATAATTTTTTACAGAACGCCTGTTGAAATATATTAGCAAAGTATGTAATTCGATCGTAAAATTCCAAACATCAAAAAGTCAAAGAATTAATTCAAATTGAAAAGATACGTAAAGTCGTAATGAATAATGAGAAGGATCAATCGATCCACTGTGTATACAGACGACATCAAATTTTACGATTATTACTTCGACTTGCAATGCTTACTGTGCTTTATCCAATAGTTTCATATCACGAATGTAATAAATCTTTGAATATGGAATTGTTACACGTCGGTTCAAAGCTATAAACTATTTTTTGGAATATCTGTTTACGTTCGACACGATGTAAGACTTTTAAAGTTAGCCTAAATAAATAATTCTACGTTAGTTTCAAAATATGTTTATATTGTAACTAAAATTGTCCATATTTTTTAACAATCAAGTAAGCTTCATGTTTCTGATCAAAAACACTTTAAAAAGATACAAAAATACTTATAGACTGTAAATAATGTTATAGCTTTTACTATAATAAAACTAAATTAACTTCCAAAGTTTAATTGTTTTCCATATACAATTTTCGACCACAGATAAGATCGTATCATGTATTGATTGATTTCATGTAAGCAAAACGGTAATTTGTATTCCATTAGCTACTGCCCCTCCCCAATCCTCCTCGCCTGATGTTCCGCTGTTCCGTTCGTATTTGTTTATCCGTATTATTAATCAATACGAGTACGTGTTGTACGATTCGTATTAGTATTTCGTAATGCACAAAGTAACGCTAATAACAGCCAATTTAAAAAACGTTTGCTATGAAACTGTTAACGAAGGTTATATGTATGAGTAGGAATATTTTAAATTAACTTTTGTGACGTTTTAATTTGATGGGTTACTAAACATGACTAGATAAATCTTCATCATTCGCACCTGCGGAAATTCTTCCGCAATCAATTCTAATGCCAGATCTCACCATTTCAGTCAGAATTGTTTTTAATAGGCTCTTAAAATTAAGTATTTATTAGCATAATTAAAGTACGAAAATCAATAGATAAACTACAAGTGCACTGTTATTGGAAAATACAAATCACCCCTGTTAAAGCTTGTAATGTACCAGTCATACCCTACATCCGTTCAGGTACGACCAAACAACGTGCCGCCGCTACACCGGTACTAAACAAGCGCTGTGTAATTTCCGTTTTGTCTCAACTCACAAAACGCATATCTCTTGCCGGCAATAGAATTTGTGAGTTGGTTGTTCGTAATTGAAATCGAGCGGTTTCAGATTCTTAGAAGACTTGGTTAAATTAATTCAATGTTATAACCACAGCGAATATGAACCTCAATTACCTAATAACCCAAATATATATGCTGTTAATACGTTACTGTATTAAAGTTAATACAAATGAATTTTGAAAGCAGAAAATAACTTGATTATATTTTGAAGCTAGTCCTCTGTTCTCTATCTTACTAATATAATAAATGCGAATGTTTGGATGGATGGAGGTTTGTTTGAAGGTATCTCCAGAACGGCTGAACGGACCTCGATGAAATTTGGCATACATATAGAACATAGTATGGAAGAACACATAGGCTACTAATTAACTTTTTTTTTAATTCTGTGCGGACGAAGTTCCGGGCATCAGTGCACATCTATATCCTAGTGGAAGTCAAAAATTAGTTCGAAATTATTAAACTTACCAAAAATAGTCATAGGTCGAGTTTTCTCATCTTCAGCAAGGAACGTAGACACCACACAAGTATAATTGCCTGTGAGCTCGGTACCTGGCTGCAGGATCCTTAGAGCTCGGTGCTTCATATACGGATTTTGTGACACTTTATATGTCAAGTCCAACTGAAACCATAAAAAATATTGCTAAGATGATTCTGTCAGGGAGTATTTTGAAGTTTAGTTTTTTACAATCTTGATTAGACATTGGTCTAGAGGACTCTACAAACATCTGCGTTAAGTGTAATATCATAAAATCAGATGGGATTTGGTTTTTGTATCCATAAATAACCATCATGATAAAAAAAAATATTCAGGGCTCCTGTTCTAGTTGAATCACTGCCCTATTGATAACGGAGTATAAAAGTATGATTGGAAGAGGAAATAAGAGGACTACATATTTAATTCGTCTACAAATGGTCCAATGGTCAATATTCTTATCGTTTACGAATGACATAAAAAGGCCAAACCTTATTTTTCAATAATCCCAACGCTTGAGGCTTCTGTGGCGGTATCCATTGGTAGACGGGTTGTGAGCGATCGTTGTAGAACCATTTCACCACCAAACCCGTGACGTTCTTTGTTACGTAGTCACAATCCAGCGTCACCGCGTCCCTCGTACCATATTGAATAACTTCTGGTACACGTATATTGATAATGCGTACCGAATGTACACCTGTGGAATAAAAAAAATACGATTTACACAACGGTGGAAACCCACATAATCTCTATTGCAACTAAAGTTTATTTCAACCTGTGAGACAGTAAACATAAAATATCCTATTCTATACCTGAAATTACTTAAATATAAAGTCAAATATGTGTGTTTAGAATTTCTACATTTATAATTACATTTTTGAAATTTTGAGTATCATATAGATCTATTTAATTGTTAAACAGATCTATTAAAAATTATTTATTAAAATAATTATGAGAATTTAAATTCACATATTGCAGATTTTCATTTTTTGTAAGAAATAATCCAGCGAGAAATTGAAGGTGGATAACCTGCAGGCACATTAGGCGCGCGCTCGCTCGGAAGCCTCGTTATTATCGGATGAGCCAGCTCGAATATTGTTTCGCGGTTTTCTATCAACTGCGAACTCCTTTGAAATCCATTCCATTTTAGAATATCGTCTTGCATTATTTTCTTGTATTTCAATGCTGCAGGGTAGAATGAAATTATAGAAAGCTTCGTTATCATCTCGCCGATTAATTGGATTTTAAAATGGTTTTGTGTTAGCGTTTTATCGATTTTTACCCACTAGTTTTTTCAAGACATCAAACACACTTCTAAACTACGTAACTACTAGTTCGAGATGATGAAATTCAGTTTTAGTTTTAACCGAAAACGCATTAAGACTTGAAACTAACGGATTGCTTATGTAAGCAAAGTCTGTGACTGGAGTTAGTGATTAATACGGTTTTCCCTTAGAATAAACCAAAAGAATACTGATGAATACAAAGAGTATAACAGCTGGGAAAAAGGAAACGTGTATTTCTGTCGGGTACAATATGATACAAGCACGTAAGTTGCAGTCGTTCACATCGTCACGCTGTTGTAACTCGGTTAATATCCGGAGTCGGCTTCAACGCTGTACATTCGCGGCAGACTTTCCGTAATCAGATGCCACCGCTCTGTTTCGCCTACAATTTGCAACAAGCGAGTATGTGTCTGTGATTTATAGCGCTAGAGGATATTATTAGAAGCTACAGGCCTATGTGACTGTCATAAAACATTGAAGATCTTAAATGAAATGTTTAGAAGCTAAGAAGGGACATTTTTAAAGGACAAAATGCATTCGCTTCGTGATGAACTACAAAAATTTATAGAACTGACAATAACTCTTGATAAGTATTATGTTTGTTGTGCGTCAATTTCATGCATTTTTGAAATCCGTTATGGAATCACTTAGAAGCGAATGCACTTTGTCTAACCAATATGAAGACAAGCAGAAATTTATCTACTTTCGATTATGACATTTATCGTTTATTTTTTTTATTATAAGTTAACAATCGAGCATTCAGCCGCTTTAATTAAATGAATAGACAATTTGTTGGGAGGCCGCAAAAAGCATCGGATAAAACTGCAGTATGTATGAAAATTAAAATGATAAAAACAAATTGTAATAACACAGGTTATACGCAAGCTTTTCCTTATTGACGGCAATAAAAACATGGTGTTTTTATTGAGGAATATTTTTATATAATGCATGCCAGGATATAAAGGGTGGGCAGTCGACCGTCGCCTGCCGCGATTCGTGCGTTACTTGCTAGAATTATGCATTTGATTAATATTATCTTACTAATATTATAAATGCGAATGTTTAGATGGATGGATAGATGGATGCATGGATATTTGTTTGAATGTATCTCCGGAACGGCTCAACGGATTTTGACGAAATTTGGCATACGTGTAGGACATAGACTAAAAGAACACAACCTACTTATTAAGATTTTTAATTCCGCGCGGACGGAGTCGCGGTGGATAGTTAGTATCTTAATAAAGAAAGCAGCAAAAAAACAGGGCCTTTGTCTTTTGGTTTATTTATTTATTTAAGCTTTGTACACATTATTATGTTTGTAACATTGCATAGAAATGCGGATATGTACGGCTTAGCTTAACTCTAAAAAAGTTCTCTTACAGCTTATTTTAATGTGACTGAGTGACAAAGTTAGATTTAACTTCGACCCTTTGTACAAATATTATGTCGTTCAACAAAGTTTGAAATTAAGGACAACGAAACTTACGTTACTGTTATTTATTGAATTTGATAGAATAGACAAATTATAATAAAACAGCTGTACATCGAAACAAGTAGGGTAGTATTTTAAGTAGAGCGAGACGGCCAATTACTTGTATGAAGTGTGAGTGAGACGAAGTCTGAAGATACACATATCAGAGCCTTCAAGCGTGACAGGCAGACGCGTGCGCAACGTTCCACTTAGCTGCCACACCGTTGATAATGAGATACAATATTGCACCTGTGGCCGCCATATTGGCTTTGTTGTTCGTTTTTTTTAATGCTTGTACCTCAAATTCATAAACTAAGGATGTATTCTTGACATCGACTTTTAATATGTACGATTAATTGTTGCTCAGAGAGTTAATTCAGATATTATTTAAATATATTTTAAGTGTTGGTCGGTATAAGTATCTACTAAACATCTTCAAATTCTGTTTGGTACATAATTATATTATACTATACTGTTAGAAAGAAAATCCGACAGTGTTGGTGTACTGGAACAATACTAGCTTTACCAAAATGTTGACGGTTATGTCCCCTCACTAATCATTCTGACACTTGACTAAGAATCCTAACTAATTATGTCTAAAAATACCTATTTGGATCTTTCCAGAAAATTAAAAAAAAAATTATGAAAATTAATTTCTAACATAATTTTTTGTACCTAAACTCTATAAAAAAGTTAAACAATGATGTAAACAAATATTAAAAGCATACATCGCATGAAATTTAATATTCAACACGTAATTAGAATACCATAAATGGCGCGAGCGCACGTAATTTACAGATAACTGAAGGCGCCTGCTCAGAAGAGCGAGTCTCCTGTTCTTTATGAGAAATAAAAAAAAACCGCAGCAAAAAATCACCTTTGTACCCGCGTCTTTGATGCATCAGACCGTAAACACACGTCTTGGTCGCGTGCTATGAACAAGGCCCTTTATAACGAGTTTTTAAAATAGTATCGGGTATTAGATTCTTTTGTTTAAAAACTCATTGTTCGCAATGTTTAACAATGCTTATCTAATATTGCAAAATTCAATCTATATTTAGGGTTTTGTCAAATATGATTTTGTGCATATCGCTTGACAAACTCATATCATACATTTTTGTAAACATACATATACACTACTTACTATGTTCTTTTGCTAAAATAATAACAAAAAGCGTGAAGAAAATAATTCTAAATTTATTATATATCATCATCATCATCAACCTGCCCTTATCCCTATCGGGTCGGCACAGTATGCGCTACTCTTCCATACATTTCTATCAGCCGTCATATCCGAGTCTACTCCCTTCCTACGGATATCCTCTTTCACATAGTCATTCCATACTTTTTTTGGTCTTCCTCTACCTTTGTAGCCATCCACATTCAATCTCATTACTTTTTTGCTTATATCATCATGATCCCTCCGCATAACATGTCCAAACCACGCTAATTTTTTACTCCTCAATTTCTCGATCACTGGCGCTACTTTCAAACTTCCTCTAATAAGATAATTAATCCTCTATTGATCATACGTAGTAGTTAAATTGAATTATTTTGGAGTATTGAAGGAATTTAATTAATTATAATGGTGTACGATTCTTTTCATTTAAACATTCCCTTTGAGATATAAAAGTGGTTAAAATATCCTAAAAGAGAATAACTCAAATCCCATTGTTAAAGTTTCACGATTTGTTCCGCGCGAAATTCTTCAATGTGAATTTTCAAAAGAATATTTCAAAGTTTCCAAACTGAGTGATCTTGAAAGTGACTCGGCTGATGTTAACAAGGACTCGGCGTTCCCTTGATGTCACTTTTACCTTTGAATTTTTAACTTCAACGCTTTCACCAACGTAAAACTTTACTATGTTCGGGTGACTATGAATATCATTTCTAACTGAGAAAAGCCTTTATTCTTAATAAAATTGGTTAATTTTAAAAGATATTGTGTTGTATCGTATATTGATAAACTAGCTGTCATCCGCGATTCCGTCCGCTCGGATAATGTGTGTGCGTATGTGTTCTATACGTGTGCCAAATTTTAATGAGATCCGTCATGTCAATGTCATCCATCCATCCATATATTTATAATATTACTAAGTTGGTCATCATACGAAGGGTCATTGCAATTTTTTCTAGCTGATTCGACTTTTTGATACGTAAAACATTTTGTCAATTTGTATGTCTATACTACGAACTTGTCAACAATCAGATTGTAAACAATCTGTTAATCCGATTCTTATTAAAGTTGTAGCTATGTATTAGTAATTTTCCCAGTCCCTTTTTCAAATAGGTACAATGTACCAAGTTTTTCCAGAGTGTGAACTTTCAGAAACTTATCCGCTTTGATTTGAATAACACGTGGGGCGGCTGTTGAAGCGACGATATCCTACGTTTTGAGGACTTTAAAAGCTTTCTTTCAGTGGCCTTATGGTTTGCCAGTGAATTGAGACATTTATGAATATGCAATGAGATGAAGTTTGAAAAGGAGTTTTGGAATGACATAGTAAAAACTTGAGCTGTATCAATTATTTAGGATTGTTTTGGACTTAAAGAACACGGGAAGATGTGCCGTATTGTCATATTTATTTATTTATTTCATGTAACATCTTGGAAAATATATTACATTCGTTTTGGATAAATATTACGTGGAAAAATATACGACGTGTGCACGTACCCAGTGTCGCACTATCGGGCAGTCAAGCTTGTCGTTAAGGCCTCTTAGCGACAAGCTCTTATTTAATAGGCAATGAATATAAAAAATATATTCGTAAATCTGATATGGTTTTAAACCGACTATTGACCTATAAATGTTATATGATTAATGTGAAAGATAATAAATTGACTAAAGTGTTTTTAATGCACGCAGTAACGTGTTCATTTATCGACATCAGATGATGAACAACCTCCGCGCTGCTATCGGTTACTGCGCGGATCAATTTCACTGTAACCTGAACTGAGCTTTTACAATTTGCCGATAAAATTGATAGTTATTTACGGAAACATCAGAGATATATGTTACCATAATAAAAGTCATCTACATATGTTAACTATGTCTTTATTACGTTGATTATAACATTAACTGATATATATTTATACTTTCCCTAGCTGTCGCCCACGACTCCGTCCGCGCGGGATTAAAAAAAATTATATATAAGCCTATATTCTCCAGACTATGATCTACATCCTTGCCAAATTTCATCGAGATCCGTTTAGCCGTTCTGGAGATACCTTCAAACAAACATCTAACCACCTACACATTTGCATTTATAATATTAGTAAGATTATATGATTACTGTAAATTGCATTGTTTATCAGTTAAATGGACCACTGTTTAGCAAGTATAACTCAAGCTTGAACAACAAGAGTAAGCAGTTATAAGCTATACTCGTAGTTAGGTTACAGTATTCACCATGAGGCATTAGATCTACGACAAATTTATTTTGTACTATCATTTTTTGTTTATTTGTAATTCTTTTAATAGTCTTTGTACGAATAGTATAATAATAATAACTATAATATTTTTTTATTTAAAAAGGAATTTCGTACATTAGACCTATTCGCTAGTTCAAACGCGTCCGGAATGTGAAATTCGATTATATTGCTTCCCGTCTAGCGGAGGATTTGGATAAGCAATTTTTTCGGTACATCAACATCGTAACGCTCAATTTGTTAGTTTTGTATTGATTCACTGTAGGTTTTATCAACTATATTGCGTACATTTTTCCCCATAAATTTCTTATAGAGATTAATTTTGCTTTCTGTTTTTTTTCCAGTCTTATAAGACGGTAGGTTTATTAATTTTAGTTTTGTATCTAACATTTTTCATGCATATTTCAGCAGCAGTCAAATCGTATCGTAATCAAAGTTTTGAAACGACTTAAAAAATAATCTTCCATTAAATATTTTTTTTTTACTTATTAGAAGCAAAAATTCAGAAATTCGTTGTAGATGAACCTGAAGTTAATGTAACAGACATGTTTTTACTTTTAAAATACTAATGAAAACATTGTAGTATTAATTTCGAATTTCTACATTTATTTCAACTACCAATAAAAAACCAAATACATACATATTCATAAGTTTATAACCTTTAAAATGAGAGCTCTAAATCTTTTTTCCATAGAATTCGAACATAAAACCAGATCATAGTTCCCAACGCGCACAAAACGAATTATCGAAACGTCGATGTTTCAAACAATTTGCTCTTCATCATTTAGCTGCCAGTACTCATATTGGAATTTGTCAAAGCTCTGTCAACGGAAAAAGTACTTTACAAATATAGAAATAAATTCTGTTTTTGATTTTTCTTCTTAATAATTCAGTGAAAAATTTATGCTCGAAATTAATGAAGGAAAAAAAAGTACTTACATTGTAGAACTAGTAAAAAATGCATCAAGCACCACATATTCACTTCACAGGTCTTATAATCCAGTAGTTCACAAGTACGTCAACACCTCAAACAGAGAACAACTCGGCTCAAAGTAAAAAAGTCCTTTGAAAGAAAAAAAATGCACAACTTCTCGACTCAACTTTAACTTTTCCCTGTATTTAGAATTTCGACGTGAAAATGTGTGTTTCACAGACGCGAGCTCTTAAAACTAAGTTGGCGGCGCGTAAATCCAAACTATGGTTGTAACCGACCCCAACGTGTGTGGGGTTCGAACCCGGACTTGTAACTAACCGCCGAAGCAACTGGCGTCCGGTGGCAAGCAGACCATATCGGAAGCACTTACTGTATTGTTGCTATTGAATAATTTATTCTAATACTCGAGTTTATATTTTAAATTATTTCTTATTGCTAGTGTTTATGGCATAAGAAAAAAAAACTTACTTTTTTCTATTTAATTTTTTTTTAATTTCAAATAGTAATTTAATATGGTCCCCATCTCATAATCTTAAATTTATCACAGATATTATGATCTAATTTTGAAATGTCTTGAAGACCAGTCTTCGCTAACCTAAGTAAATTATAGTGGGAAGCAAAAAAAGAGGTCAAATGAATTCGCCCAAATGGCGAAGCGACCGCTGCCTATAAATACACATTTGCAGATGCGTTGCCCACCTTATATTCATGATGCCGACAAAGTCCCACGGTCTAGCAGAAGTCCAAAAAAGATGTTATCATGCCACTTAACTTCTTATAATCTTTGAAAAATATGGATGACAAAACGTTATGACCAATTGCATCACCAGTAGATGCAGTTCAGATTTCAACATTTAAATAGTATAAATCAATCGAATTTGTTAATTTTATTAGCAACATTTATAATACTTATTACATTCTATTGAAGAATAAAATAATGCATTTTCAATGGTCCCATATATGAGTCAGTACAATTGTTATTCATAGAGTTAGCGGCGGAATTAAGCCGATACGTGCTTCTTCCGGAAGATATCGTCTAAGCCAGTGGTTCCGCTCACTAACTACATACGATCCGACATACTAATGATGTGACGTCATAAACCTCAGCCTGGGATCGACTGTGAATATTTAATAACTAACTTTAGTTCATTTTTAGATTTTTGCGTCATTTCCCAAATCACAGTTGTATTCGATTGTATACTATCAGATTGTATTACATTTAGAACGCCTTAAAATGATTTTTTAACCGAAACACTCATAGAATCTTAATAGTTACCTAAATGGTCCGTTAGCATGAATTTCTCAAATTAAATCTACACTTAGAAGTACAATTAGTGATCATTGAGGACAGTTTAAAAAACAAGAGCGTTGTTATTAACTTTACAGATTACATTAAATAGTTTGTTGTCTTCGAAAACGTTAATAATCCGGGTAAGATTTCCTTTGAGTTAGAATATAAAAGTGAAATAAAGCGAAAATAAAATCGAATGCCGCCATCTTCGGTGTCGCTGACAATAAATAAAATTAGGGCAGTTAATTAATATTTATCGGCGTCGCCGCCGCGTCCGGTGCGACGCCGTCTCTCCTATTGAATCAATTCATTTCGTGCTAAGAGAATCGCTCGATACTTGCTCGCTCTTTATCCTTTATTATTTCTTTTATTCGAATTCATTTGAATCTTTTTATATGATTAAATTTCTTTGTAATTAATTAAACCCTTATGGGCGTTTACTTTATTTTACTTTATTTAGTTGTATTTACACATTTGTATTACACAAGTCGCCTTATGGTTCCATTCTATTCTTTCCCGTGTTTTGGTCTGTTGGTGTTAAATCTTATCGTTTGGAGTGAGGTTAGCATATTGCCTTCACTGTTTAGTTCTAAGTAAACTAGTGCGATAATATTCATTTTAAAATTATTAAATCCAACATTTCTAACTATTTACATGGTTCATTGTGTCCTTAAATTAATTTCTGTATTTCCGATTGATTGTGTCGTTGGAAGTTTCATTATTCTCCCAAACCCATACGGTACTGAATAGTATTTTTAGATGTGTTCCACCCGAGCGGTACGGACGTCCGGTAACGTTTCCGACCGTCACGGCTTCTGCTTGTCACCCCTAGTTACCTAGTCTGCGACAATACTATTTTCGATAGGGTTGTTATAAATAAAAATAACATATCTGCTACTCTAAAACTAAGCTAAATTAATACAAGCCAAAGTTGAATTAGAACGTCACTACTCTAAATGAGTTTCGACATTGTCATTCTCTTGGATAAAACATAATCATAATGTTATAATATAAACTAATTTTATACATACATTAATAAAATCCTGTAAAATATTTCATAAGCTTATGAATTCCTCTACATGTTATCTTGAGTATAAAGGTTGAACAAATAAAAATGTTTTTAACGTCAAAATCTTTAACCGACAAACGGTACTGTAGTTGCGTTTAAGTTGTGATGTTCACTGGCTAGGAATTTAATTACACAAGCACACGTCGAGTTTCGTTACGCTTTCTTTATTCTACGTGTAAGTTCGCTGCACTCAAACATTTACGTCAACTACAATTACTTAGTAAACAAAGATTCTTGTTACTTTACAAAATACTACACTTTATTCGTTCTTACGATAGTATGTATGTATAGTGTGCAGAAGATATTGTTAAGAAGGATAAGAATTCAGTTAATACAACTGAAAGATGTATGAAAGATTGACATATAATATTTTGACTTTCCGAAGGGAAGGACAGATTTATGATGCTTCTGGTATTTAAGAGAATAAAGATGACAATGTATTTTATAAAAATACTAGTTGTCGCCCGCGACCCCTTCTAGACTATGTTCTACATCTGTACCAAATTCAAGCAAGATCTATTGAGTCGTCCCGGAGATATGTTGTAAGAAACATTCATCCATCCAAACTTTTGTATTTTTTTTAATATCATAAAGTGGCAAACGAGCGAGCGGCCACCTGAAATCGCTGAATAGCGAAGTGACCGTTGCCCGTTGCCGTATGAGAAAAAGGGTGGGAAGGGAAAGTGGACTAAATTAGGCCTCCGGGACGCACACTCATCAGACGATACGCGGAATAGCTTCCACTTCACGCCTGTCTTCTGTGTGGTCGTGGTATTTCACCGGGCGAGCCGGGCCGATTCGTGCGAAGATGTTAAAGCGGGCTGTACCACTGTTAGCTAAAATATTAACTGTTAGTTATAATATTAGTAAGATAGTAAGATTTAGTTTATGGAAACATATCATAATATACAGGTTAACTTCCTTTGAAAACCTAAATAAACAGAAAATACATTTAAACTATAAATCATATTGAGTAATACGTTCTCTAAAAGCGAGGAATCTTAATCAAATATTCATGTAATATCTATCTCATTTAACTCTCAGCTTAGCAAACGTTACGTGTTAACATATCTATGTTAAAGACAGTTACTTAAGTACACTTTGGAGAATTAACTTTCTTGCTACATATTACTTAGCAAAATCATGCTTAGTATTAAACTACAGGATGTATACAACTCTTGTTATGTTGGAACATAATACGTAATGCAATCGTTATTCAAAATTGTATTATATATCATTACATGATATTAAATTTTAATTTTTCATAATATAAATAATCAATTTTTACTTACATGACCCTAGTTTCGTAGTAAAATAGAGTCGTCTACAATGTGACTTTTTACTTTATATTATAAATGTGAATGTTTGAATGGATGAATGGAAGGTGATGTTGAAGGAATCTCCAGAATAGCCGAATGGATATCGATGGAATTTGGCATAGATGAAGAACTTAGTCTAGAGGAACATCTAGGCTAATAATTCAGTTTTTTTTTAAATCCGCGCGGACCGCGTTTCGGGCGACAGCTTATACGTGATAAAATCGATGTTTAAAATTGTATCTCATAAGAATGATAAAATTTTCATTTTTCATGACATAAATAATTAATTTTCACTTGTATTGTTTCGGAGAAAAATAGAGCCGAGCCGAGCAAATAAAAGAGGAAATCAGTACAATCAGGAACATCAAAGCAGTGCACATATTATGTCACTTTAATACGTTGCTTTTACTGTTCATAGAACTATTGTAAATTTGCAAGAAATTGTGAGCAAAAAAGAAGCCGATAGCATAAGTTATGTCCGTGACGTCATTGTTTGTGAAGCGATTGCTTGTATGCGGGCTTTATCAAAATGCTGTTCTGAATATTTTATTTTTAATTTTAAAAATGTTTTTTCTCTTTGTAACATCGTTGTTAAGTTTAGAAGTCTTATGAAATATTATAATTTTTGCATACATTAAAATACATTTGGAAGCATATGTTTTGCTTTAGATTATATAAAACGAATTGCAATTTAGGTTTGACATTGCTAAGGACACATACAAGTTATTTATATTGTATTCAATTTACTATGTCTTTTTGTAACTAGCATTCGCCTGCGATTCGATTCGAAAAGGATTTAAAAAAAAAACTTAATTAATAGCGTATGTGTTCTTTCAGACTATGTTTTACATCTATGCCAAATTTCATCGAGATCCGTGCAGCCGTTCTGGAGATAACTTCCAACAAACATCCATCCATCCATACATCCAAGCAATCGCATTTGTAATATTAGTAAGATTAATCGTTTAGCAGGCGAACAATCAAACACTTTTGTGGAATATCACCTTTAATTTGATCTAATACAAATCGTCATTTATTTTTTGGTTTCAACCGGTATTACGTATTGTATGAAATGAGTCGTTTACTTAGTCCAATAGCCATTAGAGGCTATCATATCAATGGACATGTCAGTCGGTGCGGCGATGCAATATGCAATTGAACAGTAATAGCATCATATTGTAGAGTAACATCGGGTTTGAGCACGCGAAAGACCCGTACAAATGGCTTGTTTTCCAACAAATAACATAGTGTACAATTTTATTTGTTTTTTTGATGGCCTCGCCCGAATTCACATGTGTTATTCCGTAAATAAATTACTTTAGGATAGCTTTTGTTTCAGCTACATTTATTACATACGAATGTGCACTCTTTTAATTCAAATTTTCATTAAGTCGATTGAGTTATAACTTTTTTATTTAATAGCATAACACCAAATTTGTTAAAAGAGTAGGTTTTATACTTATTCTGTGACCGTACCGACAGACAAGAACACATTATTGACAGACAAATTATTTAATCTATGTGCGTGCGAATATTAGTATGTTTTATTTATCAGTTAAATCAAAAGAAAGTTTCAAAGATTGTTAATTGTGTAGTCAAATGAAACGGTT